GCAGATACAGCCCATCTGAGAAGATAAATCTCTTTGAAGAGGGAACAGAGTCCACACAGGATTCCAGCCCCCGAATCCACCCTTTCTGCAACCTAAACACACTCCTGCCCTAAGTGCAATCCTGTAATTCAATAAATGTAAACAAGTTTTACCTGGCTTTCTATCACTGGCAACCAAAAGAGATTTGCATAGCAGAGTAGGCATGGGGTTAACCAGCTGTGCAATGGTGACCTGACAACCTGTCACCCCCCATGAAGGCCACACATCTCAGTATCACTAGTCACCAAGGAAGTCTGTCAGACATTTCCACCAACTGTAGCAAAAAGGAGGCACGAGGAAGTCCTGTTAGCGATGGTTACTCTACCCTCTGAAACAGGATGCCAGGGTCTGGCAGAAAGAAAGCAGGAAGAGCTTTCTAAATGGGCAGTGCTGCCCCAAGCCCTCTGCCAGCAAACTTCTCTTCCCAGCAGGGCAGCAGCACTTCGCATCTTGGAATGTGAAGCCGGAAGGAGCTGGGGAGGAGGCAGAACCCTGGGAGAGGAGCATTTTCCAAGTGCACTTTATGAGGTACCCATCGTGGCCCAAATTTTGCAGGTTGTCTCAGATGATCCAAACAAACTTGTCTGTACAGAATTAGAGCCCTGGGTGGGACGAGAGGCTTCCAATTTGGCCTGGGCAGGGGCTCCCTGCAGCTTAAAATCTTACAGGGGATAATGGTAACACCGGAAGGACCCTCTGCCCCCATGGGAAACTGTGACAGACAGGAACTGTGATGGATTCTACCAAAGGAACTGGAAAATCCAACCTGGGGCCCAGGAATAAATTCTGGATGTCACAGCCTGGGGAGAAGGAGGCCATAGATCATCTGTCTAAATATTTACAAGTTATCAAACTAATGTTAAATAAAATATGTTCTGTCCTCATACTCTGACAGATATTCTTTTAAAAGGATAACATTTTTAATTGTGTATGAAACAGTGGTTTGTATATGACTAAAAGTCAACAAAATACCAAAGATGATTGAATTTAATGCCCCAGGACATGCTGGGTCCTCTGCTAATGAGCTGACAATGTTAAGATGAGTAATGAACATATATATAGTTCATAAACGATTATAAATATTCCATGGAATTCATTTTTCTTATTTCCTTCCAGCAAAATTATTAATTACATATTATTATCAAGATTTTAAAATATATTTAAGGGTTAAAAACATTCAAAGCATAAATCTTTAAATATATTTTCTTCAAAAATATACATTTATATATAGATTACTTATTAATTTTTTTAATTAGCATTTTTTGGGAAAAATACCTAATACTTCAAAAGGCAAAGTACAAATTAAAATTAATGAATATGAATTTTTCTACCAAAATTATTCACATAAATCAAACATGTTATTTTACTCTTTGAAAGCTTAAACTTCAATAAATAACTTTTAACTTTAAAATTTAACTTAAATTTTACTTAGCTTATAAATTTTATTTAAAATTTTAAGTTTTAATAAGTTACCTAATATAGTTATTTTTGAAGTTATAAACCTAAATAACTTCTTTAAAAATTTTTTAAATTTGTAATTCTATCATTCAGTGTCCATCTCCTTGCCAATGTAAAGAACCAGTGTCATGTTATGTCTAAAGTCTAGACATATGCACAAATTTAAGAGTGGTATGTAATGTGATTTATGTAATATTGCAAAAATGTCCTCAGCTTCCATTTACAACTGAGGTGAATACTGTACTAATTCATGTTTACCTCCAGAACCATGAATAGGAACACAAAAACAAGAAGAAATTATACACTCAGCACTGCTGGAAAATGATATTTCATTGGCCTCAAATTTATTGCATCCAGGCTATCTGAGAGGAAAGCTCTAACAGGTTAATTAGTCTTTTCTCTTATGTAAGTACTTCTCAAAGCCTCTCTGTGCTCTGGAACAGTATCTAGCAGGGGCCCCATTAAGCCTTCATGAAGCCTTTTTTTTCCCCATGGGCATAGGATAAGAGGTGAAGAAGCATGTCTCAGGGGCCTGGTCATTGTTAGTCAGTAGACTGCAGGTTCGGTGGTGCTGTGCCGGTGAGGAGTGCCAGATTCTGAGTAAGGGAGGCATCCTGTGGTCCTTAATAAACTTAATTATTTTATATTTGGGGCTCCCTAAAGCATAAGACCAATTGGGGGCTTCTCTTATCAGTTCTAAGGGCAAAACAGCAAAAGCATGCTTCCAGAGATAAATTACTATCAAAAACAGGAAAATTTAAGAATGTCTGCTTTGAGTTGGTAATAACGTATGAGGAAACCCCAAAAAGATACAGCCTGCTGAAATGTAGAAGATAAGCAATAAAATCTAGCGACAAAAATGAAATCTGCATTGAAGGCAGAAAGCAGAATCCATGCTGCAGAAAAGTCACTCAAGGCTGGAGTCGTACATTTGAGAAGTTTTCTGAATACAGACAGAAAGCCATGTGGAAAGCCATGAGACCAAAAAAAGGATGGATATGGACGACAGGGACTAGAAACTTAAATGGGGACAAAGACACCAGAGCTGAAAAAGGAGAGCTTGCAGATCTGACAGGCATTCTATGTTCCAGAAAAAATACACGAGAAGACAGTCACCACTGAGATATATTTAAACCATATATTAACAAGACCAAAATTTTTGGCTTTATTATCAGGCTTGTACTTTACTGCCACAGAATCTATACACTCTCAAATACTTCAGGAATAGTGTCACAAATTAATTATAACCTAGGTTACAAAGAACTGATTATAAATCAGGCTACAAATAATACCTCCAGTTTCTCAAAAAGGGGGAATTATATAGGCCCTATAGTCTGGCTACAATTAAAACCCCCAATTTCTTGTAGCTTTAAAAGAATAACACACACACAGTTTTTATCCCCTGAATAATTACTGGGCCAAAGACACATTAAGATCTGGAATGAAGGCTTCTCAAACAATGGAAATTACACTAACGTATCAAGTTTCTGAAATATAACCAAACTGTATTTAGAAGTAAATTCATAGTCTTCATTCCAAGCTGAGCATTCAACTCAAGAAACCAGAACAAGTAAAAGGACCCCAAGGAACACAGGAAAAAGCGAAGCATACAAATGAATGCATAACATATTTAATTGGATTCAGGGGGAAATGGGGGGGGGGTATGTTAAAAACGCAGTTAAGAAACAAAAACTAGAGAACCTGCCTATTACCTGTCCCACCACACTTGCGATGGACTTTGATCCTTCTCTGTAGTATCATGTTGGGTCAACTGAATTCTTCAAAGTCTCTGGAATGAATTCCTCGCAAGGACAAGCCACCCTGAAGACAAAGGTTACCACTAACAGACTCCTTTAATAATGATGAGGTGGGTAGGTTATGCAAGAAGGTGAATATAACTGCAAGTTACATTTGCAGTAGAGGGTTGTTTCTAAAGCCTTGCTGCCTCAAAAGCATTACTAAACACTTTCTACCATAACATTATATTCTGCCCTGAGAGAGGCCCCCAGCAGGTTGAGAAGCACCAATCCCTGCTGCTGGTCTGCGAGCACTGGGCAAGAAGGAAGTCTTATTTCTGTTCAGGGAAGTGCCAATGAAAAGCCCTTGGATTGTGTTGTGAAATATAAGATAAGTGAAAACAAGCAAGCCTTTGGAAAAGCAAACATGGACCTTAGTGAATGAGGCTGGGTAATTGATAGACTGGAAAAATCCCAACACGGTCCGGTCCAAACATAACATACCATTCACACATCTTAAAAAGAAATATACCCCCTGGTGGTCAGCCCACTGAGAATTATTAAATCTTTCCACTGAGCTAAAAATCTGCCTGCATCCTTCTCTGCTTAATCTTAGTCCCTATGCTTCGGGCCACATGGCATTGTACCTTTCTGCGTGGAGTGGCCAGCTGCTGGGCTTTGGAACCAAACCATGGTTTCTGGCAAAGAACTGGGTTCATGATTCTAAAGATGCCTCTGTAAGAACCCCAGGCTGAGCGTACCCTCTGCACTGACCTTGCCTGTAACCCCACCATTATAAAACAAGGCAAGTTTCTGTTACTTGACATTGCAACATCAGAGGCTTAGTCAACCAGGCTAAAGAGTGAAGCACTGGAAAGATCACTCTTAAAAGGGAGAGGGAAAGTGGGGGAGGTTTAGTTAGGGGTAGGGAGGTGCTGGTGGGGCACCCATGGGATACTCCAGTGGAGGCCTCCCAATAAAAACCCTTGCTAACACAGATTGAACCCTCCCAGTGTGTGAGGCACGATGCTAAACACTGCATGCCGTGAAACTGTTCATCTTCACAGTACTGTTGTGAAATTAGCTACAGAGAGGTTAAGAGACTATCTTAAACCACAGATCTAGTAGAAGGCAGAGCAAGGATTCAAATCCAGGTTTGACACCAACATGGTAGTCTTAGCTGATATTCTATACTGCTTTAAGGAAATGATCTATTCCACTTTAATAGAATTATCTTTCTTGCTCTTTGGGGTTAGAATATTATTTAGTTTGTGTATTGAACTGGTTGATATAGGTAGCAGGTGGGGTGTTTTAGCTTAAGCTTCTGGAGATAAAGTTCCTGATATTTCAAGAGAATTTGAAGCACCTCTGATGGGCCAGGAGGGAAGTCCTCCCCATTTATTTGCTGCACATTTACAGTATGTGAGGTTCTGTGCTTAGACTGATAACTTTCATAATGATAGTATTTGAAGGGCAGGTGGGCAGAAGCCAGCAACAAGGAATTGAGGGCCAGATGATATTAGCCATCCAGTGACATGGTTCATTTATGCCCACAGGAGTATGTCAAAGGCAGCAGTAACCCATCTCAACTAGAGACCAGAGCAGGGGACCAGACCAGCTGCAGGCCCAGGGAACTCTCCAGAAGGCCCTGGTCATCAGAACAAGGCCAAAGCATCTCAGTGAACAGATACCCCTGCCTATGGTTCATGTGAAGTCCTCCAACGGTGTCTCTACAGGACACCCTCCCTTGGCTGTGAACCAGCCCACCTGGGATGATGCAGCTTGATCCTCTGGGCGCGGTGCCTCAGGGAGGTGGCCTCTTCTGTTCCAGGTTCTGCAGGGGCCAACTGCTCTGGGCTTCTGCCCATCCTGCTGCTTTTCTGCTCTCGTGGACACATGGAGGGGTTGATACAGGCACCAAGTAAAGACTCCAGCCTGAACATGTGAGGAGAAAGCAAAAGGCCAGAGTTAAACAGGCCCACACAGACCCATTGGGTCCACTGGCCTCATTTCACAGATGGGAAAACTGAGGCCTGGAGAGGGGAAGGGACGACCAAGGCCACACACTGAGCTAATGGCCAAGCTGGGCATAAGACCCCTAGCGTCTCTCCTCCCATGCTCCTCTGCCTTATTTCATTATAGGTCCTTGCTGCTGGCACTTCTTGGTACTTTATCGATTGTTATTCACACATCATCTCACTTTGTCGATTATTATTTACACATGACATGTCTTTCTTAAAGCAATAATTCTTTAATATCATTACATATTCAGTCAGTATTCAAATTTCCAATCATTTCATGGCAAAAATCGTTTTAAGCAGTTTGACTAAATCAAGATCCAAATAAGATGCACTCAGCTGTGATTGATTGATGTCTCTTAAGTCTCTGAACCTATAGGTTCCTCTTTCATCTTTCGTTTTCTTTGCAATTTATTGTTGAAGAAAGCATGCCATGTACCCTACAGACTGTTCACAGTCTGGTTTTTGATGATTGCAAACCCATGATGTAGTCGACCACGTTGGTCTGTCTTCTATAGGTCCCATAAATTGAGAGTTGAGTCTAGAGATTTGATCAAAGTAAGATTTGAATTTTTTGGCAAGACTACTTCATAGTAGGTGCTATGTTCCTCCATAGAAGAGACTTAATATCTAGTTGGATTCCTCTTTATTAGCAGCTGTTGATGCTCAATGCCTCAACCCATTAATCCCTTGGAAGTGAAAAACGGTGGTATTCTAATTCTGCCATTTCTTCCACATTTATGAGCTAAACTAGTTCTATAAAGAGAAACTTCCTCTCATCTACTATCAGTCACCCAAGGTATCATCTCATGAGTTCTGTGAAGATACTGGGTACATGTGATTATCCCCACTTTCCAGTGAGGACACTGAGCTCACAGGGCTTAAGGGAGCTGTCCCTGGAAGAACTGAGCCCTATTCAATCCATGGAAGCAGAATAAATAATTAATGGGAATGTTTTAAGACCCTAAATCAGGCAGCAGACCACGGGTCTGGCAGGGTGGCAAAGCCGGGCCTAAGGGCTCCTGGGCCCCTTTCTCCCTTCACGGGAGGACAGACCTGTACAGAATCTTAAACATCATCCAGTTCAGCCCAGTCATGTTCAGACGGGGAAGCTGACTGGGGAGGTGTAGTGATTCACGTGGGCTTTCACATGTAACCAAGGTCAAGGGCATATCCTTAAAGGAAACCCCTGAAAATTTCTGTGATCACCGTATCCAGTGGTCTCCCTGCACAGCCTGTGTGTGTACCCCCTGCACTAGTCCTGCCACCAGATCTCATCTTAGTTGTGTTCCCAGTGTCCATGACTGACACTTGATGAATATCAGTTGAGTAAATGAATGAAGGTGCCATTGTTTTTGTATCTCAGGACCTGGCTGCTCCTGGACCTGTCCACTGGGGGAGGTGCTGTCGGCATTGGCCCTGTGGCCAGCCTGTGGACAGGAGCCAAGTGTAAAGGGTTGAGAGGGAAGCAGGGCTCACTCCAGGAAAGCAACCAGAGGAGTGGGCTGGACTCCCTCCTGGCCAGAGGCAAACCCAGCAGCACAAAATCCTAGAGACGGCGTGGACGGGGCACACCAGCAAGTGGCAGGGTCTAGCCATGGAGATGGGGCTGAAACAGTGTATCAGTTAAAGGAGGAGCAAGCCAGAACCCGTGTAGTCACAGTAGGCGGGTGACTAACCCAGAACGCAGGCCAAGACTCAAGTTAGAAGCCCTAAGTGTTAGTTAGGATTAAGTTGGGTTGACAGGAATGGAAAACCCAACATATCACTGGCTAGAACCAGGTAGATGATTCCTTTCTCGTGTGAAGACAACCTGAGTCAGTCCACAGCCAACAGGGTGCTTCATGGTGCAAAGTAGGGACACAGAGAGAGGATCCAGGCTCGCCATTCTTGTTTCCTTTCCTCAAACGTGGCTTCACCCTATGGTACAACAGGGCTGCTGGAACTCAGCCTTTCCATGCCATATTCCAGATACCAGGGAAGAGTAGAAGTAGAAGAGCACTCTCTTTTTAAGGCAACTCCCAGAATTGTGCAGACTACTTCACTTACATTCTATTGGCCAGAACTGAGTCACCTGACTGCACATAGCAGCAAATGACAAAGGGAAATACAGTCTTCATTTCACACATCCGTGAACCCAGCTAAACATCAGAGTCTGTAAGTGAAGACCAGGAAACATGTCCAAGACTCGAATTATGACACAATGCAAGAGACTCATAGTTTAGCCCAGGTGCTGGGCTGTTGCTGTTGACATCCCTGCTGCCCTAGGTCCCAGGCCTTGGGCAGGAGGGGGTCATGTGAGTCCAGCTGCCGGGAGGGAGGAGCTGCGGAGCCCAGCCACAGGGCCTGACTGCTGTACTTGCTACTGCAGCGGCAGTGAGCATTTTGTAGCTGAGCACGGCATCAGCCCAAGGAAGAGCGTCGGCGGCAAGAAAGAAGGTGTGCTCATTGTCAAGGACAGGCAGGGACACAGAGGCCAACAACTGCATGATGCTGTGAAAAGCACCCTCAAGATGACAGATCCAGGGCCACAGATGGCCTTTTTCCAGGAGGCAGTCAAGTGCCTGATGATGACTGCTTTTTAAAATTTCCTTAAAAAATTTTTACTACAGAGTGACAGGTACATAGAAAAGTACACAGATCATAAATGTGCAGCTCAATAATTTTAACAAAAATGAATGCAGCCAGCACCCAGATCAAGAAGCGCATTCCTGCGACCCAGGAGGCCCCAAGTGTCCTCTTCCAGTTGCTGCCCACTTCCCTTCCTCCCAACTCCACCTTTCCCACCACCCTCTATGTCCTCCAAGTCCCACCCCCAGCCCCAGCATTTGAAACAGTTTTCCAGGCGATTCCATAGTCAACGTTGAGAATCACTGCTTTCATAACCATGGTTATTAAACTCGGCTGCACATTAGAATCAGCTGGGGAGTGTCTGCCTTTTGAGGTAGAAGTTAGGCCAGAGACAGCTGAGAGGCATTGTGGTACACTAAAGAAACTTGAGAGCCACACAGGCCTGCCACTAACCAGTTGTGTGACCTTGAATGAGTTCCTTCACCTCTCTGAGCCTCACCTGTGAAATGGGCATACTATCACATACCCTGTAGTGTTGAGGTGGAGAGACAGAGGATGCAAAGGATGCAAGCCCAGGGTGTACAGGGTCGATACAGGCCAGCTACTATTGTCATTTTCATTAAAAGTGAGTCTTCTGATGGATGGAAGCCCAATGAGTTTGAAAGTTTCAAGGGACTGAATTGTGCCACCAACCTGGGTGAGACTGACCCCAGCAGTGCTGACATGGCTCATCCGTTAACAGCAACCTTGGCTGCGCTGAGCAGTGGGCCCGACTCACCCATGCTCAGACTCCTGACCTATGGAAACTGACATAATAACTAGACGATGTTTAAGCCACTAAGCTTGTGGTGACTTGTTTCTCAGCACCCAAAAACTTATATAGATACCATTCATAATAGCATCAACAAATATGAAATAATTGAAGCTAAATCTCAAAAGATGAGAAAGGCCTGTACAGTGAGAGCTTCAAAACATTGCTGACGAAAATAGGACCCAAAGAAATAGAGATACGTATCATCTTCTTGGGGAGATGGAAAATTTAATGTTGATAAGATACCAATTTTCCAAAATGATCTAGTTCAAATAAATCCCAATCAATATTGCAGTAGATTTGTTTGTAGAAATTGATAAAATGATTCTAAAATTGATACAGACATGCAAATGGCCTAAAATAACCAAAAATTTTTGGAAAAAGAAGAATAAATCTGAAGAACACACATCAAGGATCCAAGACCTACTATTCAGCTACCACAATCAAGATCATGTGGAATTGACATAAAGGTTGTCAAACAGAACAGTGAAACAAAATGGAGAGTCCAGAAACAGATGCCCACATTTGTGAATAACTAATTTCAAAAAGGGTGAAAAGGCAAGTAAGTGGAGAAAGGAGAGGTACTGTTTTTATCGAATGGCACTGGAACAACTGGATAGCCACACGCCAAAAGAAAAAAAAAAAAGGAACTTTGACCGACAGTTCATACCATATTAAAACATAATGTAAAATGACTTGCCATAAATGTAAAACCTAAAACTATAAAGCCAGAAGGAAAAAACAGAAGTAATAAACTTTTGTGACCTTGGGTTTGGCAAAGATTTTGAATTATGACACTGAAAGAAAAATTCACTGAAGTGTAAACTGTTAAATCACGTTATCAATATTAAAAACATCTGCTCTCAAGGACACCGTTAAGAAAACTTAAAGATCAGGCACAGACTAGGAAAAAATATTTTCAAATTACATATGTGACAATGGACTTGCATCAGAATTCATAGAGAACTCGCAAAATTCAATAAGGAAATAGTTTTTTAAAAGCAAGCAAAATATTTGAACAGGCAACACCAAAGAAATGCAGATGGAAAACAAATACATGAAAACATGACCAACATCCTTAGTCACAACAGCAATGCAACTAAAACTACAATGACACCACTACGTCTGGAACTGCTGGGATTAACATACTGACCATATCAACTGTTGTTCAGGATACAGAAGAATTAGAACTGTAATATACTGCTTGTGGGAATGTAAAATGATACAACCACTTTGGAAAACTTTTTGGTAGTTAAATGTACACTTACTAATTCTTCCAGCCATTTCATTTCTAGGCATTTACCCAGAAGAAAGTAAAAGATATGATCACGCAAAGACTTGTACATACCTTTTCATAGTGGCTTTATTTGTAATATTGAAAAACTGGAAACAATCCAAATGTTTAATGGGTGAATAAACTATTGTGTAGCCATACAGTGGATTATTACCCAGAAATAAAAGTAATGAACTAATTATATGTACTACAATATAGAAGAATCCTTGAAACAATTATTCTGAGTGAAAGAAGCTAAATG